GTCCTCACCTCCTCGTGCTCCCCATGGTGTGGTAGTAGGTGTTGTTTTGTGTGTGTGTGCGTGTGCGTGTGCGTGTGCGTGTGCGTGTGTGTGTGTGTGTGTGTGTGTGCGTGTGCGTGTGCGTGTGCGCGTGCGTGTGCGTGTGTGTACGTGCGTGTGTGAGTGTGTGAGTGAGTGTGTGTGTGTGTGTGTGCGTGCGTGCGTGTGTGTGTGTGTGTGTGTGTTTGTGTGTGTGTGTGTGCGTGTGTGTGTGTGTGTGCGTGTGTGTGTGTGTGTTCCGTCGAGGTGCTGTCTCTGTTAGGATGAAGCGAAGAGGTCTGCGCGGCGTCGATGAGGTCTCCGACAGGGGGGCCCTCGAGTTGTTCATGACACTCCAGTGAAGCATGCCGTGCATGTAGATAACTCTGCAGTCGTCTGATTACATGCTCTGGAGGCCACTTCCCGCATTCAGGATGCCCGCGCCATGCTCGAGGACATGGGGCTCGGACGTCACGAAGTTTCAAGCGGCAGCCGCGCTGCCGAGTTCACGGGGCTGTTGGTTGATGGCGACAGGCGAGCTAACATCGTCAGTTCTAAGAGGATGTGGAAACTACGTCTCGCCTCGGCTTATACATTGGGAACCAGTCGTGCTAGCGGGGATGAGATTCGAAGGCCGGTTGGGCACTTCGCTTGGGCCTGTTTGCTCCGTCGGGAGGCCCTGTCGATCGTGGGCGCTTGCCACTGCACTGCTGAGAACCACGCCAAAAATGCACCCCTGTGGCCGAGCGTCGCGAGAGAGTTGCGCTGGATGCGTGACCTGTTACCTCTGCTCTCCCACGGCATCCACATGCCCTGGAGCGGTCTCGTGCACGTCAGTGACGCGTCGACGGAGGGGTTCGGGGCGCGCTGCTCCCAATTGGATCGGACGGATGCCGCTCTTGTCGGGGGATGCAATGAGACGTGGAGGTGCAGGGCCGAGGATCGAGGCGGTGAGTGTTCGTGAGCATGCGCTTCGTCCTGACGTTCTCTGGCTCGGTCTGGATGATCTTCGGCGTCGCCCCTACGTCCGTCGCGCTACCGATGCTCGACCCTGGGGTGACGGGCTACTCGACGAGGTTCTGGCTTCGGCAGTGGCTGCATCGGGTTGGAAGGCATGCGCGTGCGGGAGGTGCCAGGAGGAGGGCGAGATCATGAGATTGGAGGGTCGGGCTCTCGTTATGGCTGTTCGTCACCTGCGTCGGGCTGGGGCCCGTCGCCGACGGCGCGCTCGCCTCCTCGCGGACAATCTGGCCCTAGCCCCGGCGGTCGCCAAGGGGCGCGCGAGATCGCGGCACCTGCTGCCCACTTGCAGAGAGCTGGCGGCGCTCAGTCTCTTCTCCGGCGGGCGCTTCCACGCGCGTTGGGTGCCCAGCTAGCTGAATCCCGCCGACGCTCCGTCGCGAGGGCGGCCAGCGCCGAGCCGCGCTGATTTCGACGGGCTCGCTGCCGCCCACCAGCAAATGCGAGACCGAAAGGCTGAGCAGAGGGTCGCGAGCCTGCAGCTCCGCCACGAGATCGAGCTCGCTGCCCTGCATGCCTGGGGCCTCCGCGACGACAGCGACGCTGGCAGCGACTGCAGCTCCTCCGTTGACTCCTCGAGCTTGCCACTCATCGGCGCAGCGGCTTCGAGGGCGTCGAAGAGGTACCCGAACTTCTCCAGCCCCCAGGTCTAGCTGGCGTCGGCGATGCGGACCTGCAAGCGCGCGAAGATGGCCTCCGAGAACACTTCGCCGTGGCCGAGCCCATCGCCCGCGCGCTGCAGCGGAGTGCGTTGGAGCTGTCATCCGCGAAAGCGGGGGCGATGGGCGACTACCTCCGCCGCCTGGGCTGGTTCCAACAGCTCGTGGCCCAGGAAGGCCTCCAGAGCTCAGACCACCAGTCCCGCGACGACGTCATCACGCAGTGGTTCGACGTGTTGTTCCAGAGCGGGCGCCCCGCCAAAGACGGCTCCAAGTTCCCGGCAGCGCTGCAGCGCCTTCGGCCAGAGCTGAAGACGCAGCGGCAGCTGCGCAGAGCGTGGCGGGCCGTCACGGGCCGGCGAAAGCTCGTGCTTGCGCACAGCCGCGCGTTGCTGCCGCACGGCGGACCGATCGGCTTGCTCGGCGGGCTGATGTGGTTTGGCCACTTCGAGGAGGCGATCGCCGTGCTGATCGCTTTCATGGCCCACCTCCGCCCCGGCGAGCTGTTCGCCCTGACCCCCGAGTCGCTGGCGCCGCCGGTCGCGGGCGCGGGCGGGCTACCGCCCTGGGGGTCATCCTCGGTGCCCGCGAGCTCGGGCGCGCCAACAAAACAGGCGAGTGCGACGAGAGCGCGATGCTGGACTGGCCCACTTCGACTGGCTCGGGAACCTCCTGCAGCTGCTGAAGAGCAGGGGCACGTCCGGGCCGCTCTGGTCCTTCGGCACAGTGCACCTGACCTCCGTTCTGCAGAGCGCATCGTTCGTCAGCGGGGCCCGCGCGTTGCACCCCCAGCCGCGCTCCCTCCGGCATGGGGGAGCGCCCTTCGATGCGATCTCACAAAGAAGAACTCTCCCCGATATATCAAAAATGCGGGGGCACTGGAGGACAGACGTCTCGGTCAGACGACGCGAGAAGGCGGCGCTGGCACTGCGAGAGGCTGGGGGGCTGTCCCCTGCCACGACCTTGTTTGCGCGCACCGTGGATGAGGGACTGGCCAGCTTCCTGCTTGGCCGCCGCCCGCCGCCGGCGCCGCCGCAGGGCGCCCCCTCTGCCCCGCCGCCCTCGCGCTCAAGCAGCGCGCGAGGGCCGAGGTGGCCGGGGCTAGGCGCGGGGGGCGCCGCGGAGGCGTCTTCTTGGAGCTGTTCGCCGGCGCCGAGCGGATTGCCGCGCGCTTGCGTCACTGCGGCGGCGCTGTCGTGACCCTGGAGATTGCCGACTGCCCGCTGCAGGACGCTAGCCTCCCCGGCGCGCGCTCGCTGCTAATTGCATGGGCCCGCCAGGGCCCTGTCTGCGGCGCGCAGCTCGGAGCGCCGCGCCCCTCCTGGATCGCCGCGCGCCGAGGGCGCCCCCGGCGCCCAGGCGGTCCGCTGCGCGCGCCCGACTGCACTATGGGGCGCCCCGACGCCCTGCCCCGGCCAGCAGGTCGAGACAGAATTCACATCGGAAATGTAACAGCAAAGTTCTATATGGCAATCATCTCGGCATGTGTCCCCCCGCGCGCGGCAGTGTTGGAGAACCCAGCGGGCTCGATGCTGTGGACCTCGCCGCGGCTCAGCTCGCTCTGCCGCAGCGCCCATAGTGCACAGGTCATCCTCGATTGCTGCCAGTACGGCGCCACCCTCCGAAAGCGGACCCGGCTGCAGGCCTGGCACGTCATTGATTTGAACGCATTGAAGAGAATATCGCGGCCGAGGAGGCTCTCGCGCCAACCGGCCTCGCGCGGTGCTCGAGGGGTCGAAGATGACCAGCGCCGCCGCTGCGTGCCCCGTAAGCTTCGCTCGATATGCCGCCAGAGTGTCGTCCGAATCCGAGCACAATGCTGACCTTGAGCTAACGTGGACGGGCAATTTCATTCGGAACTTTTTTTCTGGGCGGCCAACGGCCAGATCATACTCTGCGCGCAATGGAATGGCCTCGCTGTCCAGTTACCTCGCGCGCCCCGATTGCGCGCAGCTGCTCGCGCAACGTTGCGTCGGTGCAGATTTGCTTCACACAGAAATTATAATGTACCCTGGAGCCCCAGCAGCCTCGCTGGTAATTGTAGTTCTGTGAACGTTCATCCCAAGTAAAAGTAAAGCGGGCGGGTCTCCGCCATCGGTTCATTCGGTTGAGCTCGCATCCGTTCCGATGCCTCTTGTGGTCAAGTCGCTCCCTGCCCTCCCTGCCCTCCTCTCGCCTTGGACTGCCGATTTGTTTCAATGGATTGGCTTCGCTGTTCAGTTACCTCGCGCGCCGCGATTTCGCGAAGCTGCTCGCATGGCGTTGCGTCGGGGCAGATCTGCTGCACACAGAAAAAGGTTGTGCCCTGGAGCCCCAGCAGCCTCGCGGAGGATCGATAGTGAGATCGATTGTGAGATTGATGTGGTGTCCCGAGGTGTCCCGTGGTGCCCCGCGGTGTCCCGCGGTGTCCTAGAGTGTCCCGTTGAGCGAGATCGATAGTGATATCGATATTGAGATCGAGAGGTGCCCCGCGATGCCTCGTGGTTCCCCGCGGTGGCCCGTGGTGTCCCGTTGAGCGAGACCGATAGTGAGATCGATAGTGAGATCGATACTGTGACCGAGAGGTGCCCCGCGATGCCCCGTGGTGTCCCGTGGTGTCCCGCGGTGTCCCGTGGTGCCCCGCTGAGTGAGACTGATAGTGAGATCGATAATGCAATCAATAAGTGTCCCGTGGTGTCCCGCGGTGCCCCGTTAAATGATGTCGATAGTGAGATCGATTGAGTCAGACGCTGCCCCCCCCCCCCCCCCCCCCCGCACGCAACCTCCTTATCGCGCGAAGGGTGGTCGTATAGGTAGGGCTGCGAATAAGACCCCCCCCGTCAAGACTCGGCGGGACAGAGGGGGGTGGGGCAGCGAGGAATGTGCTCGGAGCTGCGAGAGTAGAACCGGCAACATTTTGTCTTGCATATATGGGCTCAAGCCTCGATCCAGGCGGCCTCCTCCCCCACTCGCTCGCCGTGCCAGCGGGCGACCATTCCAGCCGCGAAGCTCTCGTGGTTCGACGCGCGCGCGCTGGGGAGGGGGCCTCGCCGGCGCGGGGGGGGGCCTTGGAGGGCTGGGTGGATTTCGCCGCCCAGGAGTTCTCGGCCTACCACTGGGGCGAGCAGAGCTTCGAGGAAGCTGAGGAGGCAGAGTGCAAGGGGCCCTCCAGTGAGCAGGAGACTGCGGTCTCCCCGCCGATGCCACTGCAGCGATGGAGCAGAGTGCACTATCGACCACAGGTCGACGACAAGAAAGGCCTCCCACGAGGTTCACGACGACATCAGGCGAGCGCCGCTGGGTGGCCATCGACCCGACGGGCAGGCCCCAAGTCATCGACCTGGCATTGACGGCGAAGGTTCGGTCCGCCAAGTTCGCAGGCGTGGGCCACGGGGCTTTCCCGGGCACGTCTGCTCGCGAGAAGGCCATGGCGGCGGAGGCGGCGGATCGAGTGGTAGCATCGGGAAGCATGGCGACCACTGCCGCGATCACCCGCGACTTCAGTCGGAAGAGCTCGCCCGGCAAGAAGACCCATCGTCGTCGCCTCGTAACGTGTTTGACGAAGATAGCGAGCAACGTCGTGGGCTACGTGTGGGCTCGACGGAGCTTGGGAGGCTTCGCGGGATCTACCTTCGCGTCGCGGCGTGCGCGCGCCTTCGTCAACGCGGTGGAGTGGGCGAAGTGGGCGCACAGCAGCGCCGAGGAGACGGTGGGGACGGTGGAGGGCCTCAGGGAGGTGTACGAGCAGTTGGTGGAGATGCACGAGTCGAGGGTGCTGGAGCCGTTGTACATGTCCGTTGGCATCATGTTCGTCATTGGCGTGACGGGCTCGCGCTGCCGCGGACGGCGTTCACGGCGCTCGGATCGGACCGAGGAGATCGAGACGGGGTCCTCGTGGCAGTGGATGCTGCCCTGGTCTGGGAGCCCTTCACCAAGTTCTTCTGGGGCTCCGACATCTCGCGAAGAAGGCGTCGCGATGTCCGACGGCGAGGAGGGGGGGGGGCCGTGGGGCGCGAGATGATCGGGCAGCTGAGCGCAGTCGCGGACCGGCTGGCAGCGCTGGAGACCAAGAGCGCGGCTTCGCCATTAGCGGTGCCGACGGCGGTGGATTATCCGAGCAAGCCGTTAGGATCTCTCAGTGGCAGCGTGGAGGTCGGCGAGGGTTCTCAGCGCGACCAGATGATGACTCGCCTCATCGACCGCTCGGGCCGCCACATGGAGATCGCGCAGAGCGACAGCTTGGCGGCGCCAGCAGGATCACCGACGGCAGTGCCCGAGGCGTCGGTCCAGCATCCCGAAGTGGAGGCCCTGATGCGAGGCTTGGACGACTCATTCAAGGACATGCGTGCGATGGCCAAGGAGAAATTGACCGCGTTCTCCCCAAGCGTGAGCTGGGCGATCCCAGGCGGCATCAAGACAGGGGTCGCTCCCTCGATGGTGGCGAGGCCGCGCAGGAACGGGTGGACCGCCGCGTCGGCCATCTGCGAGATGATTCGCCTCAAGCAGCTGGACGACAACCACGCGGCGGAAGAGATGTCGCTGATCGGCGCGGTGATCGAGAAGTCCATAATCGAGGCGACAGCGGACTGGATCAACTACAAGACGACCGAGCTCGCCATGCGGAGGATGCACGGGATCGAGCGGGCGTTCGAGAACGCGAAGCAGAGGAGCGACTGGAAGCCCCCACATGGCACCAAGCAGGGGTGGAAGTCGAGAGTCAAATGCGCCGTGCTGGAGGAACTCGACGCAAGCAAAAATATCACGAGGGCCTGCTCATCGACGGGGTGGAGAAGAGAGAGGCTGGACCACCGCGCCTCGCTGGTAAAGTCACTCGAAAAGCTGAACGACCACAAGAACGCGGCCCCCAGGAAAGACGAGTAGAAAGCGACAGGATTAGAATGCTTGCACGGTGTTGTCTGCCGCCCCATCGCCTTTCCCCGTCTCGAGTGCACGAGCGCGGCCTGGGCCGCGGCCCCAGGCGTCGCCGCTGCCCTGGCGGTGAGCGCCGCGGTGGGCGCGCCCGCGGCCTGCGCGGGCTTGCGGCTGGCGGGCGGCTGGTTGGCGGCGGTGGTGGCGGCCTCCACCACCTGCCCTGTTTGCGTCTGCCGCGCGCCCGCGCGGCCCCCGCGCCGCCGCCCCCGCCGCCTCCGCCTGCGGGGGCTGGCGCCGAGGGGTTCGCAGCGGCGGTGGCGACCGAGCGGTTGTCCATGCTGACGAACGGGTCACCCGCGCCGGCGGTTTGCCCCTCGGCGGAGGCGGCGGCCGCGGTGCTGCTGGAGAGGCCCCCCTCGGCAGCCGAGGCCGCGGGCCCCTCTGAGGCGGCGCCGCCGCCGCCAGTGGCCAGCCCAGTCGTAGAATTTGAGCAAGGCGCAGGCATGCTCCTGGCCTGGAGCGCGGCGATCTCGGAGCTCATCGCGGCGGTGTGCTGCTGCGCCGCTGCCCGCCTCCGACGCCGTGCTGGCGCCTCGCCGCCGCCGTTGCGGGGCGGGCGTGACCTGGCCGAGCGGGTCCGCCGCTGTGGTGGAGGGTGGTGCGCTGAGCTCCGACCGGGCTTGAGGTTGGGGCTTTGGCACCCGCGGGATACGGCGCGGCATGAGAGGCCACTGCGGCGCCCCGCAGGAGGGGCGCACTGGTGGGTGCTGACTCCCGACGCCGACGCGCGTGGAGGACGTAGCAGGCGTGGTGGGCGACTGATGCAGCAGGGCCTTCGCGTGCAGCCCCGCTGGGGCGCCCCCTCCGTGGCGCACGGTTGCTTCTATAGGTTTGTGGAGCTTGCGCTGCTCGCCCGCCACCGCGCCCTCGCGCAGCGCTCGCGCGCGGCGCGGGGCGAGCGCGGCGCGGGCGCGGGCGAGCCCGAACAGTTCTACACCTGGGAGGGCGAGCTGCGACCTGCGGCGCCGCGCCCCACTGCGCGGGGCCGCCGGCGCGCTCGGTGGCGCGGCGACGCCGCGCGAAGGAGGGGCACTGGCGGGTGCCGAGGTGGCCGCCGCGGCGGGGGCGCTCCCCGACCAGGGGCCCCCTGCTCGTCGCCCCCTCCATCGGCCGTCGCCGCTCGGTGGCGCGGTGGCCCTGTCGGGGGGGGGGGTCCGCCTGGGTGCTGGGCGCGCAACCTTCCGCGAGGGTGACTGCTGGCAGATGGCGGAGGCTGCGCGCGACGAGAGGGCGGGCGCCTACCGAGCCGAACGCCCTGGAGAGTTGGTCAAGATGTTGGGCGACGTCTCGGACGACCGCCGCCGCGCGGCGGCGGCGGCGGCCGGCGAGGGCGCAGCGGCGCCGGGCGCTGAGGGCGAGGCTCCCGACCTGGAGGCATCCGGCGACAAGGACCTGCGCGACCGGCTTGGCGCGCCACCGCCTGCGGTTCCACCGTGGGCTGAGGCGGGCGAGGACGCGAGGGCCTCGCGGGCGCAGCGCGACGAGCACGGCGAACGACGGCATAAGCCGCGGGGGGATCCGCGCGGGAAGGGCGCCGCTGCACCTTCAAGAACTAGCCGCTCGAGGATGGCCTCTCGACCGTGGAGCGCGCGATCAAGAAGTGGGAGCAGAGCGGCGGCTCACCTCTGCTGTGGCTAGACCTCTGGTCCCGCGACCGGCTGGTGAACGGCGCGGATCGGACGCACATCGAGATGAAGTGCCTGCTGACGGCGATCTCCTACGCCGGGAGCTACGACCAGCTCAATCTGGCCAGCGTGGCCAGCGTGGGGGTTCTCTGTCGGCGAGTGTCGCAGATCGTGGAGAACTATTCAGGCGACCCCACCGGGCCCCCGAAGTGGGGCGGCCTGCGGCACGTGGGCGTGGCGGGCCCGATGGGCGTGACCCCCGCTGGGGCCATTCGCTGGTGCGCAACCGCAGGCTCTACGTGCGTCTGGTGAAGCTGCCCTATTCCAAGGGCATGCTGGTCTGCTTAGACGAGTTGGAGTGCTGCGAGCAGGTGGGCATCGTCTTTGCGGCCAAAAAGTCCAATCAGTTTCGTCGCATCATAGACGCGAGGCGGAGCAGCCTTCACTGCACCTCGCCTCCAGGCGCATCGCTGGTGACCGCCGAAGGCCTGGCACGGATCGAGGTGGAGGGTGCCGATGACCCCTCGCAGGCGGCCGCTCTGGGGAATTTCACCCTGGGCACCTCCGACATCAGCGACGCGTTCCACCGCTTCAGGATCGACATGTCGACGTTGAGCTTCTTGCGCCTTCAGAGCGTTCTCGCCCAGGAGGTCGGCATGACGGGCTCCGTGATCGACGGGTGCCCTGCAGCGGCCGACCGCCGCCTGGTGCCGGCGCGCGCCGCCCAGCCGATGCTTCACTTGGTCGCTGTACTTCTGCCGGGAGGTCGGCGAGTCTGTCGCGAGCGCCACCCCTGAGCTGGTGAAGGTCCACCGCATGAGCGACCGAGTCCTTGCGACAGTGCTGCGCCCGTCGGCCCCGCTGGCTGATGGAGGTGGCGTGCAGTGCACTTATGTGGACAGCCTGGTGGCGCTGGGCTTCGCCGCGGGCGAGGTCACCTCCGCCCTGGAGGCAGCCGCCGACAGGTTCGACGCCGCGGGCCTGCGTGCGCATGAAACGTAGATCCAGGCAGGCCGCGGCGAGACGCTGGGGCGCGTTCTGGACGGCGGCGCCATGTCCACCATATTCACCGCCAAGCGCTACTGGCGAGTGCGCCAGGGGCTTTCTTGGGTGCTGAACTGCAGGGCGCTACAAGGCTGGGTGTGGGAGATCATCCTCGGCCACTGCACCCACTGCGCTATGTGCAACCGCGACCTCCTGCCAGTGTTCAATACGATCTACAAGTTCATCGCCTCGAACTATAGGCAGGCGGCCGTGCTATGGGCATCCGCCGGAGCGGAGATGGTCGCCTTGCATGGGCTGATGCCGATGCTGCGGGGCGACTGGACGCTCCCCTGGCGCCCGCTGGTCTGCCTCTCCAACGCCTCGGATCATGGCTACGAAGTGAGCGCCTCGTTGTTCGAGCAGCACGCGGTCAAAGACATCGGCCGCGTGCAGGGGAGCTCCAGGTTTCGGCGCCTGGGCGGCCACTCCGCCCGAGCCTTTTTTCCACGACGAACGGGATCGTGATGACTGGTAAGGGGGAGCTGAAGGACATGGCCGAGCTTGAGGATCACGACGAGATTGCGCTTCAGGCCGGGTGCGGAGTTGATGCGTCTTTCAAGGATATGGCAGCGCAGATATTCTCGGGATCCGGTTGGACTGAGTTGGTCGCCCGCGGGTGGGGCGCATGAGTCGCGGGCCCTTTTGCGGGCGGTGGAGATTCAGTGCAGCCTGTCGCCGCGGGAGGGCGAGCATATCGTCAGCATGAGCGAGAAACTGCCCGCAGTTCTATGTTTCGAGAGGAGGAGAGCCAAACACTTCGTCGTTATTTCTTGCATGCGGCGGGCTGTCGCCCTTGGTCTCTCTCTCTCTCTCTCTCTCTCTCTCTCTCTCTCTCTCTTTCTTTCTTTATCTGTCAATAAGCGACTGCATGTAACATGGTTCCGAGCGAGCTCAGCCCTAGAGACGAGGGCTCCAGGTCTATGACCCGAAGCACGACTCGACGAATACAACATGAGCATGAGCAAGGCAATGCAGAGATGAATGGCATGCAGTACCGCAAGCACGTGATTACTGAGCATAGCAAGCACAGCAAGTTTGACAATATTGAAAGCATGCGCAGCGACAACGACTTAGAGCAGACGAGCAACCTCGCTACAGCAAGCAGCAGCAGCAAAGCAGACGTACAATCACGGAGGCCTCTACGCGGACCCGAAGTGCCCCGACTGGAGCTCGAGCCAGCCCTGCGTCGGCCTCGGGCAGGCAGCGGACGCCCCCCGATGCCGAAGGTCAACTCCTCGGCTCCTGCATCGAGCCCTCCTCGACCGTCCGTCCTATCTCGGCTCCCGCAGGCGCTCATTTTGGGCGCCCAAGGCGCCGCGCCGCGGGGCCCGGTGATGAGCGCCTCGCGGCGCGGGCAGCTGCTGGCACCGCGGCCCAGCGGTGGCGGCGCGCCCGCGCTGGTCTCACCCGAGCGGCCTGCCTGGCGGAACCAGAGGCGCGGGCAGTCCGCAGGCGATTGCTGCGCGCACCCCAGGACAGCGCCCAGCTGTCACTGAGCCAGCCGCCGACCAGCGCGAAGGTCGGCCGCCGCGACCTGGAAGCAGCGGGCAGCGGCGAGGGTGACACCGAGGGCGAGAGCGACGCCACGACCCAGCCCGACGAGGAGGCCGAGGCCAGGCGGACACGCCAGCTGCGCCAGACGGCAAGCACCGGGCGCAGGCCGTGGCCCAGGCGCGGGCGTCGCCTACGCTAGCTGGCCTGACGCTGCTGGAGCGCTCAGCCGTGAGGCAGGGCACCGAGACCCGCTACCAGGTGGAGCTGCACGCGTTCATCGACCACATCGGAGAGCGCCCGCTCGTCGTGGACAGCGAGGTGGACGGTGCGCTCGTGCGGTGTATGGTCGATGTCCATGTAGCTGGGCACAACTCGAACAGGGGCGACGTGCTGCTGCCCGCCCTGATGCACTTCCAACCCCAGCATGGCAAGCTGGGTGGATCGCGCCCCCCTGGGCCTGGAGGTGCCTGAAGGGATGGCGCCGCAGATGCGGGCGGAGGTCTCGCAACCCTGTGCCGAGAATGATATGGTCGGCTGTGCTGCCGCGGATGCTGGATGATGGGGCTTCACATCATCTGGTCAATAGTCGCATCCCAGAGGCCTGGAGAGCTGTTGACGATCCAACGGCAGGACCTGATCCCGCCAGTTGAGGGAGGCTCGAGCGACTGGGCGGCCTCCTCCCAGGCACTCTAGCCGCTACTCGAAAGAACCAGCTGCAAGACGGGGGGAGCAGCCTTACAAGGAAGATATATCCTCGGCTGCCGCGTGCGATCGCGGCGCTCGCGACCGGTCGCCCAGACTCGCACCTGTTCCCGCGCAGCTACCGAGAGTTCGCGACGGAGTTCAACCGCACCAGGGACGGGCTGCAGCTGGGCAGCCTCGTTCTGTACCACTGCCGCCCCTCGCAACGCATTCAAAAGGGTGGACGACCGCCTCGAGGTGCTCTTCTTCGGCCACGCGGCCGCCCTGCCCTTCGCGCCTGTTTGGGCCACCGTCCGCACTTCGTGGACCTCTTCTGCGGTGAGGGCGGGGTCGGGAGAGCCATCTCGCACCGAGCGTGCGCCGCGCGCCTTTGGGATGCCAACTACGACGCCAGGTTAGATCTCACCGATCAGTACGCGCTGCGCCTTCTGGAGAGTGATGCCGAAAACGGCTTGATCTCGTGTGCAGCCATGGCTGCAGAATGCACAACTTTTTCAATTGCTCGAGTACGGACTCGTTTCGTTCCAACGTCAGAGCAGCCCTGGGGGGTAAAATATAGATCTGAGTTCAGTGAGAAAGACCACGCCGCCCTTCGGCGCGGCAACACAATCCGCAGGGCCACC